CATACCCTGCTTTTAATATGTGTTATCAGTTAGATACAATTTTGTATATGTGATTTTATAAACGGGTCTCATTTGAAGCCTTCCCAGTATTGGATTGATGGATATTTTCACAGGCCTTCCTGTAGGGTACAAGCAGGAAGATTTTTATTTGGAAGGAAACTTCCAGCTGGAGTGATACTGTGAATGTGCCTTGAGCAAGGGTAAAATAAGCGGTTGGAGTGATAAATGTGGGAGATCTTTCCACTTTTATGAATTTTTTTTTTGCCTCGTGCAAATGTTTTTGAACTGGTCTGAGGTTTAATCTGCCTTCCTTCCTTCATTTCCCTCTTGGCCCGAAAAAGAACAATTTCCCAGACAGATGGGATTAATTTTGTCATGTTCGGCAGGTCACTGCAAGTGCTGCCTGTTTTACTGTTTTGCTATTGTTCTTAAAGATTTGGCGTTTGTTATCTTACAGCCTGTCATATTTGAAGGGTGAACAGGAAATAGAACTCCCAAGGATCTGGTGGGGATGGGGCTATGCAAATAAGGTCTAGATAGGTATTTGGTGTTTTTTTTTAATCCATATGTTTAGTGTTAAAATGTTGAAATTCAAAAAAAGTTTTAAAAAAGCAAGATGATTTTTTTTTAAAAAAAGACTATTACTTTTGAATTAAAATGGAACAGTATAGTATTTGTTAGCGCCAGTTGCTTCTAGTTTGTGCCTGGTTGTTAAGTGAAGAATCTCTGTCATCTTGTTAAAAAAAGCAAGAAACATCTTTCCTTTGTTTTATACATGCAAGCACGTATATATTGCAGCCATCGCTCTCTAAAAAGAGCATTCTCACTTGTCTCACACTAAAAAAAAATGATAAAATTGTCCATATTCCCCCATTTCTTAGAATAAGTGAATATACCTGTCTACCTGTCTATTTTCCAAAGCGCCTAAAGGCAGGACAAGAAGCAACGGGTGGAAACTAAACAAAGAGACTAGCAACCTAGAACTAAGGAGAAACTTCCTGACAGTTAGAACAATTAACTAGTGGAACAACCTGCCTCCAGAAGCGGTGAATGTGCCAACGCTGGAAGTTTTTAAGAAGAAACTGGACAGCCATTTGTCAGAAATGGTATAGGGTTTCCTGCCTGAGCAGGGGGTTGGACTAGATGACCTCCAAGGTCCCTTCCAACTTTATCATCATCATCATTATTATTATTATTATAAGCATTCCATTTTTGGGAAGCAGAAAAGAAAAGGATCAGAGGAGGCATTTTCTTTCGGACCCACGGAAGAGAATACTTGTGGCTCAGAGTTGAACTGTGAAGTCCTTGGTACTACTGTCTGAGCTTAGTAGTTTTCTTGCAGACATTTCATTACCCAACTAGGTAATGTCTTCAGTGCTACTGATGTTACCTAGTTGGGCAATGAAACTACCCAACAATCTCCCAAAAGCATCAAGGACTCCACATTTTCTGTAATGCTGTGCTGGAACAGGCCAGGAATGCCTCTTAAGAGCGGGCCTGACAACTTGCATTTCACTGGTAATATTCCAACTGAAAATTTGAAAAATGCTTTGTAGCCTAATTTGACTACGGCAGGGGTGCCAGACTGCCAGCCTGCAGGCCAGTTGCATCATGCAGAGGCCGTGCCACCCCAGCTCCAGTAATGGAAAAAAGTCGCAATATGACACAAAACATCACATGATGCAAGTTTGATACCCATAATCTATGGAGAGTCTCATTCATCCCAGGTCATTGTTATCCCAAAGGTGCTTTTTCATGAGGCAATTGGACTTCCTTCTTATAACAAGGAAGTCCAGTTGCCTTGTGAAAATGCACCTTTGGGATACCTAATTTGAATTGATTTCAGGTAGTCCTCAACTTATAACCATTTGTTTAGCAATGGTTCAGAATTGCAACAGCGCTGAAAAAAGTGTCTTTCAACCTGTCTTCACTCTTAGTAACCATTATAGCATCCCTATGGTCATATGATCAGAATTTGGATGCTTATCAACCAGCAGGTGTTTATAACAGTTGCAGTGTCCCAGAGTCATGTGATCACCATGTGTGACCGTTCCAGCTGACTTCTAACAAAGTGAATGGGGAAAGCCAAATTCACTTAATGACAGTGTGATTTACTTAACAGCTGCAGTGATTCACTTAACAACCATAGCAAAAAGATAAAATTAGGTGCAACTCACAACAACAATCACCTTGCTTAGCAAAGGAAATCCTGGTCCCAATTGTAAGCATAGGTTGAAGACTACCTATAAACATTTTTAATTGGAACCAGTTGATTGAACGACTGTAGTTTTATTCTAAGTTTGTCTTTAGCAGTTAACTGGATCAGAATTAACCCAAATTTGCTAGTTTCTGACCCTTAATGCAAGTGGTGAAAAGCATGCAGTTACGAATTATGATTATAGCATATGAAGAATAGTTGCAGGAATCAGGTATGCCTAGATTAATGAAAAGAAGGACCAGGGATGATATAATAGCAGTCTTTCAATATCTAAAGCAGGGGTCTTCAAACTCGGCCCTTTTATGACTCATGGACTTCAACTCCCAGAATTCCTCAGCCAGGCACGCTGGCTGAGGAATTCTGGGAGTTGAAGTCCATGAGTCATAAAAGGGCCAAGTTTGAAGACCCCTAATCTAAGGAGCTGCCCCAAAGAAGAGGGAGTCAAGCTATTCTCCAAAGCACCTGAAGGCAGGACAAGAAACAATGGATGGAAACTAATCAATGAGAGAAGCAACCTAGAACCAAAGAGAAATTTCCTGACAGTAAGAACAATTAATCAGTGGGATGACTTGCCTCCGGAAGTTGTAGGTGCTCCAACACTGGAGGTTTTTAAGAAGAGATTGGACATGCGTTTGTCTGAAATGGTATAGGGCAGACATGTCAAACACAAGGCCTGGGGGCCGGATGCGGCCCACGAAGTGATTTCATGTGGCCTGCGAAGCCATCCTGGAAACAGTGAAGGAACGGCCCCCGCTGCCTTGACCCTGGCCCAGGCCAGCCAGGAGCCAGTGTACAATTTTCTGGTGGCCATCTTGGCACTTGCCCCAGTGGACCGTGCCTTGTCACTTGCCCCGGTCCCATCCCCTTCTGCCAGAGACCCTCAGATCTGTCCCACTCCTGCCCAGGCCCCCCATAGGCACCCTTGACACGAATGATGTAGAACTGGCCATGCCCACCCAGTAGGCCACACCCACTCCATCCGCACCCACCCATTAGGCTGCACCCACTCTGGCCACACCCGCCCCCCCCAGGGCAACCGCAATGCTGATGTGGCCCCCAGTGAAATTGAGTTTGACACCCCTGGTGTAGGATTTCCTGCTTGAGCAGGAGGTTATGCTAGAAGACCTCCAAGGTCCCTTCCAACTCTGTTATTCTGTTAATTATCTTTAGCTCAGTTCCTGGCATCTCCACGTAAAAGTGTTAAAATTGCTGAAGGTATTTTCCTCTGGTAGGATATTGACTTTTGGCTTTCTTAGAGAAGACAGAATAGTTGGGTTCACTCTCCCCTAACCCAGCTTAACAAAATAAAGTGCCATTTCTATGTTCCCATAACATATTATGTTGGAAATAAAAATCCATATATGGACTAAATTGATATCCTGGTTTGAACAAGTTGAGCTGGAGACTACTCACCCGCTTTCTAGCTTAGTTAGATATATTATGTGAATCCAATCTGTGGTCCTTCCAGATGTTTCCAGACTGCAACTCATAGTATCTCTGATCATTGGCCAGACTGGCTCAAAATAGAGGAATGGAAATTACAGCTGGATAGACCCAGAATGCCAAATGGAGATAAGCCAGTGGCCTGATTCTTCACTAAGCAGTTGCATATATATATATATATATGTGTGTGTGTGTGTCCTTCAGGAGCATTCTTCATTCAACCAAGACTGTGGAGTGACCCTCAAGTTGATCAGCCTTCCCCAGTTTGATGCCTTCCAGATGTGCTAGGTTTCCTCCTGACACATCTGGAGGATACCAGGCAGTACTGTTGTCTACCAACTTTGGCTTGTGGGGACCATTCACTTATTTTGTAGAATGGGGACTTCTCTGTTCAGTCTTTGGCGGGACATCAAATATGGCAAGGCATCAAATATGGGCATCAGTATAAGGCTGTGTGGGAAGAAAGTGAACTCTCCGTCTCCCCCCTCCTCTCTGATGGAAGTTGGAGACTGTTGGTCTTTCCACCCTCTTCCCACTGCTTGGGCTAATCTGCCCCTTACCTGCTCAGGAACTGGTTGTTGCTTCATTTAGATAACACCCCTGATAACAGGTTGGGGAAAGCTACGCTGACAGCTTCAACCTGTCCTCTGGAGAAGGACAAAATCTACCTTGTACTTTTTGGAAGGATTCCTAAGTGAACATAAGTGAGATCTTTCAGAAATGCAGTTTTAAGGAAATAGAAATGCATTTCTAACTGTTCATCTACGTTCATTTTAAGAATCTACTTCTTTGACTCTTACGGGATCAGGCTTCATCTGTGAAATGCAACCCCCAGAGATGCTCAACTGGCCCTTCCGTTATGGAATTTGTGATAGCCGATTGAAGATGTTTTCATTTCCTAGGAATTTGGGGAACTATTTCAGAATACTAGATCCTTGCTGCTTTATTCTGATTTTTATGCTGTAATTTATTGCCTTGATTATTACCGCTTCTGATTTTTATCTTACCATTGCAACGCTCTCTGGGTGGGTTTTCCTATTGTTTGCATAGTAGTTTTTAAATAGCAAACAGATCCAAGATAGGCAGCCCAATAATTTAACCCTGCAGAAGATTTACTGTCTATCCAGCAATTGCAAAAACGGCAACAGTTTTTTGCAAATAGTTTGAAGAGCTCACAGATCAAATATGACAGTTTTGTTTCATTTTGGATCTTGGCTAGATAACTAAATCTGTGGCGTTACCTCTCAGAATGTTTTTAATTTCTGCATTATTTCCCTTTCTCCCCACACCCATGTTCTCCGATGTTTAATCTTGTTATTGTTTGCTTTCTTTTTTCTAGATGTTTCCCTTGCCAGTGACTAATGGAAAAAACAGACCCACGACTCTCGGTAGCACGCAGTTTGGTGGATCAGGTATTGCTTAACTTTCTCTTCCCTTTGGAGAGAAAAGGCCAAGCTCTTTGATATAGATGTAACATGTTTTCTGATATTGAGACTATGGTTAACAATCTGGCCCCAGGGACTTAAGACCTCCTTTCCCCAGTTTTAAACACCACTTTTTTTTTGTTTGTTTGCCTTGATCTCATCTGCAGGGTTGTTCACATAAAAGATGATCTGGGGCAGGGATTTAAGAAATAAAATGACATCCTGGTATTTTGATTGTGCTATGGGTTTTTTTTAAATGTGGGCTTTTTTTAAAAATGCACTTCTTTATGCCCTAAAAATGCAATGATGATGTTACCTAGTTTGGGTAATGAAACGTCTGCAAGAAAACAACCAAGCTCAGAGATAAGGATCCCTAATTTCAACCCTGAGCTATTCTCCTTTATTGGCACTTATTTATTTAGCGGTTCATATTTTATAAGCTAATTGATGTGTTCTTTTTTTGTTGTTGTTTTTTAAAAGAAAGTCTGAACCCTTAAGTAAGTGTTTTTCAATTCTGCCAGGGGAATACTGGGAGTTGAAGTCCACACAAAGTTGCCAAGATTGAAAAAAAAAAACTGATTTAAGCAATTAAAGCAGTGGTTCTCAACCTGTGGGTCGGGACCCCATTTGGGGTCGAACGACCATTTCACAGGGGTCGCCAAACAACGCAGTCTGCCATTTTTTCCCCCTTTTCCTTAGCTGTGCTACTCCCTTTTATTCTATTGGCGTTTGAAAGCCAATAGAATAGACTCTCTTGAATAGAGTCTAATTCTATTGGCTTTCAAAAGCCAATAGGAATTGTCCAGGCTGTCTCTGCCCTGCTGAGCCCGCCAAAAATCCCATTCTGCAAATGGTGCTGCACTAGTTGAGTAGTCTTCGACTTATGACCGGTTGAGTAGTCCTCGACTTACGACCGATTGGGGGTCGCAGCATTAAAAAGGTTGAGAACCACTGAATTAAAGCATCTATCTCTCAGTGTTGTATATGGTACTTCTGGAATTGTCAGGTTCCTTCGAGAAACGAGAATGCCACAACTTTCACCCTGGCCTCCTAGCCAGTGGCATAGTCCCAAACACCTGGAAGGTCCCCTCCGGTGAATGAAAAGCCCAACAAAGTTGAACATGAAGGGAAATTCCCACCCTTTTTTATTAATGGTATAAAGCTACAGAGTGCTCTCTTTTCTTCTTGGCCTGGTCCTTTAGCATGAAAGCATTGTCACTGAGGATCACTTTGATTTGGGGCGTGTGTTCGAGAAAACTTTTTTTTTTCTGCCAGCGGGCGATACAAGTTTGTGCAAGTGTTGAATGCTGAAGCTACAGGCGGTGAGAACAAAGCCAAATTTCCCCGCCACATGTTCTGTGCCTGAAGGTTGTCGTGTCTGCTATGTTTTCCCCTTTGATGCTCTTTTTCACCAAAAAAAATAAAATAAAAATACGTTTCAAAATGAAGATACTTGCCACAGTCAACCCTTATGGGATATATTTGCTTGAGGGGTATTATCGTTGTTCTTTGGTTCCATACTTAAAGAATCACTTATGGGTTTAGATCCATAAGTTTATCCTCCATCTCTGCCTGACTTTCATTCTCTAAGGCTGGAAGAAATCCATCACTTTTGTGTCAGCTCCTTTTGAGTCTGCATTGTAATTAAAAGACGAGCTGGGTAAAATGACATGGACGCATTTAAAGCAAAGAGGGCAGGGCATGGGTCCGCCTCAACCCCATAATGGCACAGAGATGAGCAGTCTTTCTAGGCCAGCATTTCTCAGCCTCATGCTGGCTGGGGGAATTCTGGGAGTTGAAGTCCAAGACATCTTTAAAGCTGCTGAGGTTAACTAAAACTGTTCTAGACTCTCTCAAACAGAGAGCTTCCTTTCCATCTCCTGTTGTTTCCTAATCTTTATAAACTGGAAGTGCCAAAGTCTTTTAAACTTAGGAAATTCTGCACTCAGACTTGCTGTTCCATCTCGGAGCAACTGTCTTTTTGATTTATCTCTGAGCAATACGCCCAACACTTACACCCATCCAAACATGTTCCCAGGATTTCCTATCAGTTCTGTGTGTGAATTCCAGAGACCAGAAGCGTCAATCAACCACTCAGATCAGTTGTGTGGCCTGTAAATTGGCCCAGGCCTGCTCTGCCCCATTATTTGGCGGTTTTAATTCACCAATTATTATGGTGTTTACTCCATCCTCCTCCTGCCACACCCACCAGCTACACCTTTGCGGATGCAAGAAATGCCAACAGCAACTATGGGATCTGCCATTCTGGAGAGAACAACACATTACAGACTTGAAAGGTTTTTTTCTCTCGCTTAAGCAACAAGACTAATATTTTGTTGAACAAGCCATACCTAGGTTGGCAGAGCAAGGCAAGCTTTGGTCTGCTGGATACACACATCACAAAAAAACCCAAACCAATAATTTTACAATTATTGTACTAGGAACCATATCTGAGTGTTCACACACTCTGTCCCATGTACGTCTTTCTGCACTCTTCAGATGTTGCTTCAGAGTAGCTACAATTAATCACCTTGTTTAGATGCAGAAAAGTAAATTTGCAAAATACCTATTTTTCTAGGATTTATTTATTCAATGCCCTGCCTTCTGGATCCTCCCATTATGCCCTCCCAACCTGGTAAGGATTAATTGGAGTTGTAATCCAACCACTCAAAAACTACCTTCATGTCAATAAAGGAGTTATAGTTTTTACCAAATTCCACTATGAAGCCAGATGTCCTAGAATAAGTTAGCAAAGCCCAGCTCCCTCCCCGATTTTTCCTTTCTCTAATGCACTGATGGGGTGATGGATAAATTATAATCCCAGCTTAAGTTGATTTCATGCCAGTGTTCTTATGGGAAGTTTTGAACTGCTGCTGTAAGAGTTTATACACACACAAACCTTTTTTGAGGGCATGCAGTGACTATGCTATGTATATATAAGCTGTGTACAGATAAATAGAGAAGGGGGGGATGGGCAAATAAGTCACAATGATGGATGCAGCTGTACGGTCAAAACCTCTCCCCCTTTTTATGTGCATGTGTGGTGACCTGGAGAGGGGATTTGGGTTCAAAGGCAGTGTGGCCTAGTATGAATACTGCTAGACTAGGAGTGGGGAAATCCAGGTCCAGTCTCCCCTCAGCCATGGAAGCTCATTGGCTGACATCAGGCCAGTTCCTCCCTCTTAGCCCAGGAGCCAATCAGGTCTGTGGGGAAGAGATTTGATTAGAAGTGATGAGAACTGGATTCTAGTTTTCTTTCAGCTATTGGAAACTCATTGGCTGAGAGTCCTCTCTTCTCAGCCTATCAGGTCCTGTGGAGAAGGAGCGGGACTAAGAGTGATGAGACCTGCGTTCTAGTTCCCTCTCGGCCATGGAAGCTAAATTAGTTGACTTTGGACCAATCCTTGCCTCTCAGCCAAACCTGGCAGGGTTAGTATGGGGAAAATGAGGAAGAAGGAACACTACATAAGCTGCCTTCAACTTCTCTACAAAATGCTGTATATAACTCAAATGAATAAATACAACTGAAGGTTTTTTTAAAAAAATTCCCTGCAGCTTTCCTTCTAAAATAACGTGGAGCCTCCAAAATCATTCTAAGATAAAGAATGGGGTTTCTTTGTGCATGTGGGGGGAATTTTACAAACTATAGCTTTTAACCTTTTTAAAAATAAATAAATAAATAGTCTTTCCTCTCTATTTCTGAGGCAGCTTGCAGTCATATCAACGCAGCAGACATGTTCTTTTTGAGAAAAAAAGCTGGAAGAAGGGAGGAAATATAATTGCTCACAATATGGCCAAGAAGCTTCTACTGTGTTTTTAGCCCTGGTTTGAGAGGTGGGGATAGAAGTGTGACATTTGTGAGCAAATAGGCTGCAGGGATAGGATTTTGATACGGCCCTTGGAGGACAGCAGAAAAGCATGTCATTGAACCTGGAGAATCCCAGGTTGGAGATAGCCAGGCATGCTGGCTGCGGAATTGTGGGCGTTGAAGTCTTAAATTTGCCCAGGTTGAAAAACAGTGCTCTCCTCCCTAAATAGGAAGGATGTAATTCCACCCCATACCATCAGCAGGTGTGAGTGTGTGTGTGTGTGTGTGAAACAGCCTCCACTTTGCCATAAGAATTCTTCTCATGCTGGCTCTTGGAAATGCTGCCTGGGACATCTTTGACCATAGGTCAACTGATAACCATAAGGTCTTATGCTATCCACCCCTTCCCAAATTCTTACCGGTATGTATCCACTCACCCTAAGCCTTCCACAAGTTGCCCCTAGATTGTGATATTTTAAAGTGAGAAATATGAAGCCAAACATTGTATATATAAAAATTTTCTCCAGTGTTTTATCTAAAAGGGAAAGCTTATCGTACGGCCCATTTTTTCACATGTGCAAGGGCTGAGATATAGTTCTCATTTCCCTTTAAAAGGTTAATACTGACAAATATTTGGAAAAAGCTTGGGGCAAGTTACTAGTCAGAAAAAAAAAACCTTGGCTTAGTCCTCTCAACATGCTAAGTCATAATGTGGCTTTCTGGAGAGTTGTGCATGATTTGTGAGCTACAGTTCATGATTAGCAGAAGTCATAACCCAGCCAAGAAAGAAACATGGCTTAGTCCAGTGAGCCAGACCAAGGTAGGGGTCTAAGCAGACTTATCTGGTACCAACATTCTCCTAGGTCCCTTGAACTTTTGTGAACTTATAAATCCTTTTTTTAAAAGGCCATCTGGTCTTTATCTCATCTGGCAGTGATTTGTCAAGTTGTGCTTCCCTTTTTGCCCTGATTCTTCAAAAAACATTTTTGGGGGTAACTCCCCCATTCTCCCCTCATGCAGATGTCCCTAATCTTGGAACCTCCAGATGTTTTTCTCACCACATCTGCAGAGTATCAGGTTGAGCAAAGCTGTTCTGTTAGAGAGGAACGGGGGAAAATGATGTAGCTTCCCTGCTGTTTGCACAGAAAAAGTTCATACTTTCATCAAATCTGCCAGCTCCTTTAATGCCTCATGTTTTTGTTGTTTCTTTGGAAAGTTGGGAATCTGCTCCTTTTTTTCCCATGGGTGTGTTGACTGTGTGCTGGGTCACCACACCTCAATCTGGGGGTGTCTTGCTGTGGTTCTTCTCTTTGCATTCTCCCACTTTGTTTAGATTTGAGCACAGCCCCGATCTGGAGCATCTTCAGCAGTAGCAGGCTTGACTCTTACAACCTTCTGGAGCATCTGTGGCAGGTAGAATATTTGCTGATATGGCGCAAGAGCATAAGAAACATGAATCAGAACTCAAGCTTTCATTAAAAAAAATAAAGTCCCAAGTCTGTGTCGAAGTGTGTACGTAATGGATGATTAAATAAGAATAGTGACTATTAGGGATGATAATGTCTGCCTGTCATAAGGCCACCTGACTCCAGACAACCCTGGATATCATAGAGGAATAAAGTATGCCAATTAACATCAGCCAATAATTAATCCAGAGGGGATGCCTCATATTCTCTTTGCACAATCATAATTGTTAAGGAGCCACACCCCACATTCTAACCAATTCCTGGGAGAAAATTGTGGGGGGGGGGGGAAGGGACATTTTAATTATCTTGACATGCCACCCAT